GAGAGCCCCGCCGGGACGGCCCTGTCACGGCGGCGCCGCCCGCTCGGGCCGCCCCGGGCTGAGGGAGAGCGGTCGCGGACCCCCTTCCGACAGCGACAGCGCGTCGCTGCTTCAATTAATAACGTCTTCGCGGTTTGTCTTCCAGGTTATGGTCGTTTCCGTTAACCCTTTGGTGTTTACCCCACGGTCGACATCGTCCGCACAGGCAGACACGGCTTTGGGGCCTGTGCTGTTCAGTGAAGGTAAAGCAGCCCAGCCCTGCCCTGCCGCTCGTGTGCAGTTGTTTGTCAAAGTCTGTGTCTGTGACCGACAGAAAGATTGGATTAGGCTAAACACACAGCCCTTCTGATGCCGCTGGAGGGCTGTGACAAACTCGGCTGCAGAAAGAGATCCCGTGGGACTGGGACCCCGAACCATAAGTGAGGTGCCAGAAGGGAATTTGTGGAAAGAAAACCACGAAAGGATGTTTTATTCCCCTTCTCATCTTTTTGTATATTGTCACCCCAGGAGTGTGTCTACCCCAGATAGATGGGAAGGCCCTTTACAGTGGTGACTGTCGTTGCAGTCACGGTGGAATTTGGGATTTCAGGCTCTTCTGTGGCACTCAGGTCCGTGCTGTGCTGCACCAGGGAGAAAGCCAGAGCATGTGGCCTAGACAACACCAAAAAAATTAGTCTCTGTAATGCAAGTCAATCCCAGGACGGTGAGAGAAATCATAGTCGTACCATTAAATGTGTAAAACAAACAAACCCAAACCACTCCCCCCACCCCAACCTTAAATCTGTGGGTACCAGCTCTCAACAATTTATTGACTTCATGTGAAGCTGTGTGTTTTTGCTGGGTCTTGAGTCATCTTCCTAAATGTTTTTATTACTGTGTTTCTTGGCAGCTTTTTGAATGATTTTTGTATTGCGTCCTTAGAAAAAAACATTCTCATGTCATCTTCAGAGACTTTACAGTGATGGTGTTTTAGTGCCACATATTATTGGCAGACTTCGCATCAGTCCATTAACGCATCGGAAAGATGCAGCATAATCTGTCATAAATAATCCATAATCAGGCTATTCCCTTCATGTTACTGATGTATTCCAGTTGACAGACTTGTGGTCAGTTTGTACAGGCTAATTTAATCATTAAATCGTATTGGTTTTTCCACTGGATAAGACTTGAATGAGGTTTGCACTGGTAGACAGGGTGGTCTTTGCAAAGAGCTGACAAATTGTCATTTTTTAAAGCACGGTTACTGTTCACGGATGTTCTTCAGTTCATTAAGTCTCAGTGACTACAGAGACTAAACAGTAGTTTTAATAATAGTTTCCTGGAAGACTAGTAATTTGCTCCGCTTCTAAAGCTTGCACTGGTATGTTAGTCTGTCTGATACATCTTCCGTGGCTATTGTGATAACTTTCTGTGTTTAGGGCTTTTTTTATTCCTTTTTCTTTGCTTCAGGTTGAAAAGATGGGAAACACAGAAAGCAATGCCTATCGGAATCACCTTTCCAGATTTCTTCCTGAGGAGCAGTCTGACATTGATGGAGTGTTTGATACCTTATCAGGATCGAGTGGCTCAGCTGGAGCGAAAAATGGCAAATCTACAAAGAAAACTGTGACTCTAGCAGCACTACAGGCAAGACAATCTGTTATTCCTGATGTATCTGAGATGTAGGGCATTGAACGTAATTCCAGGAAGAAACTAAAGACGTGGCAGTAGTTACTTTTTAAGGGTTGCTTGTCTCAATTTAATACTTAATGTTTTGGGACAGGTTGGGTATTTAACTTTTTTTTTTTACAGTTTAACATGGGTAGTGAATTTCAAGCTTGTATTTATCTCTTAAATTGCGCTGTTGGGTCAATTTGCAGCTTTACTGATTCTGAAGTAAGTTGGGATGTATGAAAATATTTTTAGAGAAACCTGAAAAATGGCAAGATTATTATTCTCCCTGGACTCTGTAGTGTGTGATTATTTACAGATTTTCTTGAGAAGCTGTCACAAAGTCAGTTTGTATTTGGTTATATCTTTCTCCCTCAATTGCATCACTGTCTCTAATCTTTCCACGTGCATTAAAAGGAGATAATTCAATTTTGCTTGATTAAGCTGTGGCTCCCTGTTTTAGCTAATTAACACACATTATGCTTTCTGATTAACTTTGCATTCGTTTTCTAATCAAGAAAGAAGAGGAAAATGATTCATTGCAATACTTGATAACTTCAGTTAGGCAGGAACCAAGTGGCCAAATGAATGTAGTCTTAAAATTGCATTTTTATGTATGCTACACAGTTAATGGAATCAAATTAAAACTCCAGGAAAGAAGCAGGGTATTTTAAGATATCTAGAAAGGCATCTGCACACAGACCTGCTCTAGCCTTCCTCCAGCCTGGCTGTTTATGAGCTACCACCAGTTTGGAAGCAGCATTGCTGCTCCCCAGCCTCTCAACCCTTATACGACCAAGAACCTGGTCCTTGGTGTCTGTTATTTAATTGGAACCTGGAAGAAGTTCTCTTTCTAGCTTTGCCCCTAGATCAACGTGACGTTTGATAAATGTTTGTCTTTTCCCTTCCTGCCTTTTTGTTTGCCAACTTATATTAAAATCTTTTGAAAGACTGCCTGTAGGTGCCTAATTCCTTAATGCAGGGGCTATTGCAGTGGCATGGCTGTCTTGTAGGTGTCTGTGCTCATGCCCCAGCTAGATTGATAGGATGCACTTTTGATCTAGCAACAGTCTGGTAACATTGAGGGGGCCCCAAGCGTAACGTCATATGCTCTGCTTAGGCTCAGTGCTGTACTAGAAGGAAACTCCGTGGCTTCTAGACAAGAGCAGGTTGCACTGCAGAGCTTGGAGCAGGTAGAGCAGGTATCTCTAGATACTTTCTTGAAGCCATTTAAGACAAGGATTCTAAACTCTCAGAGGTGTGAGTTTGTTAGATGCTTATTAAAGATTCCCTTTTTACAGTCCTCGGGTTTTGCACCCCAGGTCTACTCATTGGAATAGCTATAGGCGTAACAAAACAGTGCAACAAAGTTGGTGGTGGGTGGGAAGGGGTAGGGATGGTCACAGGGGGTACAGCTGTCTTTAAGAGGCTTTCTAAAAGTGCTACATGAGCCCGAAGTGAGACAAGCAGCAGGGAACATAACTAAAGCCACTATACTCAAGGGCTTTTTACTGCACAGTGCAGCCTCTTAAAGACAGGTGTACCCCCTGTGACCATCCCGCCCTCAATAGGAAGCACTCTAATGTGCAAGACTGCGGCTGCTAATTCTGCTTCTGCTGAAATCAATGGGAGTTTTACCACTGACGTCAACAAAAGCAGGGTAGAGCTTGGCATATTGGATCTCACCCTATACGCACAGCAACAGCTATTGACATCAAATAGGAACGGCCCCGGTGGCTTCAATAGGAGTGGTATTGAGCTGCAATAGATTGGTAACAGCAGCTCCATTGAGCAGAGCTGGAGTGCTTCTACGCAGGTGGACTTCCATTGATTTCAGTGTAGTCCCCGCTGTGCTACACCCCTGTATAAAAGAGTCAAGTCGGGTGTTCAGCATGTTATGCACAGTGCTTTGCACAGTGAACACACTGTGTAATCATGTCCTAATGTATGGATGTAGTTTAGATGATTTATTTTTAAACCATGTAATTATCTTGAACGCTGTGAAAGTTTCTTGAATCCAGAGTCAGATCTTTCCCACAGTGTTGTGATGTATGGTGCTGTATAGCAGTTAGATTTCAATGCAAAGGGCCAGTCATGCAATTTAGACTACTAAGTTTTGATTTCAACTGTCTTAATGACAGGGATGCCTTATAAAAATCAGGTGATCTCAGTTTTGTTCCATGCTTGAATTAGATATTGCTATGCAGAGGGAAACTTCTCAGAATTGTTTCTATGTGTGCATGTTGGGCTAAACACATTGCCTGCATTGTCTTGAGGCCGAAACTGAGATATGGAAAAAAATTTACTTTCTCGTTGTTTTTAAATATCTGTGAACTCTGCTATCAAAAGCAGGGTTAAAACACAATTTTAAATGTTAGACTGGCAGAGTTGTTTGTTGGTTTTTTTTTTAAGTCCATGGCATTTTTAGAAACACAGTATCAACTTAAATTACTAAGTTGTATTGGAAAGGAGGTACTATAAAAATAGAGATTTTTTTTTTTCTTGGAAAACCAGTCCTTTGACAAAAGTTTGTTGCTGATAGTATATATTTGGTACTGAAATCCTTCATCCATAGCGGTATATCTCAGCACAGATTAGCTGGAATATATTAGTTATTCTTCATTTTTAAAATATGTTCTTTGCTATTTTTCTTGTTGTAGGCATATGTGCAGGAGCCATTACCAGAGCAAATGACTGTTCGATTATACAACGGAATGAAAAGTATTGACCTGACTGGGAAATCATCTGGGCTGAGTGAACAGATTGCTAAGGAGCAGTTTGTAATTTTTATGTCAAACCTCTTAAAAGGAAATGCAGATGAGAAGGTTACCATAATAATGAGGATGATCTCCAAGACTGAAGGGCCTGTGAAGGGCAAACAAGTCCAGGAGGTAAACAGGCAGTTAAATGTGCGGTGGGGGGGACAGTAAGAGAACAGAAAAGGTTAGGTAATTTGGAGGTAATCTTTAGAGCACAAGATTCAGAACAGAGATTTCTGACTTCTGTATTTTTTAATCTCTTCACCACTAACTTGCTGCTCTGGGACAAACAGCGTAGGCAAACCAGGTTATATTTAATGACTGTTACAGCTGTGGGCTTTTCCATGCTGACTTGCCTACTTTGAGAACCAGGATCTGGACTTTGTGGAGCACACTGACTGTTTTGCCTGACGGTTCACAAACTCGCTCTAAAGGGTGCAGAGACTGGCTATGCCTAAGAGCCAGCAAGGGTTGTGGTGTGGCTGATGCTTCTGGGAACTGAGCAAAATGCTTTCTAGAGCTTTAGTTGCAGGATAAATGTGCAAATCAAATACAGAGCTTGCAAGATGGAAGAATGGGATCTCACAAAATGCTAGTTCACTAGCAGCTCCTACCACTGCAAAATTTGGACCTCCCCTCCCTCTTTCATGCCGTATATTATGGAGATGCTTTGTGAAGTAAGATTTACAAAATGTCTTGAAAAAGGGCACTTTTCAAGACTTACAACACTGAAGTGACACTTCTGTTATTTCTGCTGCTTCATGAGAAGAGATGTTTCTGCCATTGAGATTACAGCTTCAGTACTACTTGACTTTATTTTCAGGAAGTCCTTTGAAGCTCTTGGCAATTTTATTTAAGAAATGCCAAAATGGTGATGTTTTAACTTTTTAAGTTCGCAGAGGATCTGATCACGTCTGTAGTCCATGTACTGAGCTACAGGAAGGAACTGAGAGGTTGGAATTTGGAGAATACGAGGGATTCTGCAAGTGGAGTAAAGGCTCTGGCTTCTCAGCTGCTATCAGAATTGAAGCTTGCAGGTAAACAGCACTGATGTAGTATATCTCAGAATGGCACAGAGCTCATGTAATTGCTGATCTCACAAGAATTTTCTCTTCAGGTCACATCTTTGAATTTACATGGTGAGACCAGTATTTCAAACCTAGTGCTTTGCGAATAAGTTGGGAATTTTATTTATTTTCCCTTACCAGCTTTCTCCCCTAAATTCAGGAGAGCTTTGGTTTGAAGTCCCACTTTAAGTGGACACACAATACTATTTGTCATGGAACACGCCTATTTTACAAATACCTGACTTGTAGGTAACAGGCATTTAGGTGCATGTACACATATTTGTGACTGTATGTCCTTTTACAACACATAGGTTTATCTTTGCACTGTTGTAATAACAAATTTTGCTGTCTTGCAAAGAATATCTCCTAAGTTGTAACTAGGAGTCTGTGTTTCTTAATTGAGACAGCTCAACCAATGGATGCCACAAGCAAATGTTTCTCAGTTCTATGGATGCATCTGCTTAATGTAGCTGACACTCTACTGTCACTGGCTCCGTTCATATGTGGTTTTATGTCCATTAAAATAACGGAATATTGTATTTACACTTAAAAATCAACTAATCATTTTCCAGATTGGGGGACTTACTACTGTTTCTGTGTGTCTTATTATTTAGATGGGACAAAACCTGTGGGTCCTCAGCTGATGGAGACAAATTTTGATCAAAGTGTCATTGAGGATTGGGTGTACCGAGTTCCACAGATCTCAGTTTTCCTCAGTGTTGTTATCAGGCAAGGCCTCCATGTTCTGCATTCTCTCCCAGACCAAACCAAAGACATACTCAACCTGGTTCCAGGTTGCAAAGGCATGAAAGGAAGAGGACTTGTCAGTCTCTTTGACATCCCATCCATCATATACATCAACTCTCATCTGCCTGCAGAGCTACAGCACAAGTGGCAGCTTTTATTTTCTTCTAGGCTTCATGGAGAAAGCTTTTCACAGTTATGTGGGCATATAGTGAACAAAGGTCCTTGCATAGTGATCGTAAAGGACTTAGATGGTTATATCTTTGGTGGGTTTGCGTCTCATTCCTGGGAGGTGAAGCCACAGTTTCAAGGTAAAAGTCACTTTTCGTCTTCTAGTATCTCATGGCTCTGGTAAATGTTGCCTATTCTGTACAGGTACAAGAATCCTGCCCACTTAATGGGTACTCTCATTTTACTTTCATGACACGCAGTATTTCTGATACTTCCAAGTGTATTTTCCTATGGCAAAAATAACGCTCATTTTTGAAAAATATAAAATATGTGCTAAGTTATTTCTGCTTTGTGCCCAGTCAGGCATATTAGTGATTGATGTTTATAGTTTGCCTGTTATTTGATAAGACTTTTAAAATTGCAGGACTTATTGATCATGGAACAAGTATTCTTTTCACTGAAATCTATCAAACCCTGTAGCTGCATAGGTTGAAAATGAAGGAAACACAGCATAAACGAGGAATTAGAGTTTAAATAACTTGTCCAGCAGATGGCAATCTTCCATCTCAGAACAGCTGAGCCAAACACCAGGTGAAGCCTCCTGTTGCCATTTGTGGGCTGGCTGGCTTCATTTTCCTTTTAAAATCCAGCAGCAAAAGGGTCCTTTGGACAAGCTAAACTTCCTGTTCCCTTGAAACCTCTGGGGAGAAGGGAGGTGTTTTTTGTAACTTTCTGGAAAGAAGTTTTGTGATGACTTTATGAAAAATAATGATGGACTCTGGATAATCTGTTCTGCTGGGAATCCTCACTTTTGCTACATTAAAAACTCAATTCCTATACTGAATTAGTATTTGATAATTACCACTTCAGTCAGTTAATATAATGGTATGTTACACTGATTGCACAACACTTTCCTTATATTTTCTCCTGATAGGAGAACACACGTAGCACACCAGACAATCACAACCACAGGTCCCTCTGAATACCTAACTGGGCATAATGAAAATTGTACTCTAGATCATTGACCCTAAACACAGTCAGAAGTAAATGTGTTTGCGCTCATATCGGTTTATACAGGTCTAGCAGTTGGTCAGTTTTGGGTGATACAATGCAAGCCTGTGATGGGTGTACCCTCACATAGTAATGTAGTGTACTAGTCATGCCTCTGACTCTGCCCTTGGTCACAGCCATATAATTACATTGATTTCGGTGACCCTGCACAGAGTTAACTGAGAATAAACAATAGGTCTGGATCTTGATGAGAGATAGGTATTGGCTTTCTGAGATTGCAGCTGCTGTCTTTGATTTATTCAGCTGCACTTCTTCAATATTTTTTTCCTATCCTGTTTGTACGCAAGTTATCGCTTGGCCAGTTGTCTGACCTCAGATGCTCTTCTGTTCACAGGTGACAACAGATGCTTTCTGTTTTCTGTTTTCCCCTCTCTTGCCGTATACACATACACGGGGTATAATGACCACTACATGTATTTGAACCATGGCCAACAAACAATGCCAAATGGACTTGTAAGTATTAAGAAACGACAATTTGAAAATAGGATTCGTGGCTGGTGTTCAGAAGTGTTTCATGTTTTTTGCTTTGTTATTGTGAACAGATTTATTTCACGTGTTATTCTCCGAGGAATTTTTCATCCTGTCTCCCTGCTATTTGAGCCACACTTTTAGTAGGAGGATTTTTTAATGCAAAAAAGCATTAAAGCATCAGTCTAAAGTGTGAACTATGGATAATGATGGAGAACTGCTTACAGTACTGATAGGTCTATACTTTTCTTTACAGTTGATATGTATATTGAAGTACTGAATCAACTAAGATGGAATTTATTGTGTCTGACCCAAGCAGGTGTGCTTTATGTATGTTAGATTTATGGAGGTTCTGGGAAGAAATCTTTTTGCCAGGTTTGGTTATCACGCAAGCCTTTCTAGCACCCCTCCCTGTTGTCTGGAAGAATTGACAGCATGTATCCGCATCACTGAAGCAGCGCAAGCTGCCAAACTAACTGCTTTTTAAATTACGGAAGGCTGAGAAAGCCCAACAGAATCAGAGTACAAGAGTTGCACGTAGGCTGCTGCTGCTGCTGCTGCTGTTGTGCGATTACAGTGGCAGAAACTCCGTTTGCCCAAGTTCAGGAATCCTCCAGATGCAGAGGAGTTTCTACAAAGCTACAACACACCACCTGTTTTGAAAAGTGCTTTACAGTTTTATAGCATTATGTACCTGTAACTTTGGGAATTGCAGCAGTCTGTAGTAAATGTGCTCTGAAGAAACCAAACAATATCAAGTTAGATTATTTGTTTCTGTAGATACTTTTCTAAATGGAAAAGAGGCAGCAAACCTGAGCACTTTCACCCTGTTTAAAATGGAATTCTTAATCCATAAACAGAAGCCAGTGAGCTAAATTTCTGGCACACGACACAGCTGAAGTGCTGGTATTCCATAAAGCATAGAGGGAGGGCAGTATCACTCCGGTAAATTCTTGTTTGTCTTCAGGAATACTGGATTTTGGTACAGGAGCCCAGGTTCACTCAAAACATCCTTTTTCCCTACCCACTGAAGTGTGGCATAAATTCTGAAAATAGCAATTTATACTCCGAGTTTCATAACTTGCTCAGTCTGTTTTACACATGTAGCAAGTGTTTAGTGTGCTGCTTTGCGTCACAGGGTATGGGTGGACAACATGGTTACTTCGGACTCTGGATAGACAGTGACTACGGGAAGGGACACAGTAAAGCAAAACCTCGATGTACCACCTACAACAGTCCCCAGCTGTCAGCGAAAGAGGATTTTACACTGGATGCCGTGGAAGTTTGGGTGGTGGGAGACCTCCTTGAAAGCGCAGGGGTAGGTGAACAAAATTGAAACCTGTGAAATTGTGTCTTGATTGGAACGGGAGATGCAAATGCAAAACTTGCAGTTGCAGTTTTTTGATTAAACACTGTCTCTCCATTGTAATGAATAATGTTTTTCTTAAGTGGCCCTGTGATGCTGCATATTTTGTAGCAAGTAAACGGCAAAACAGTAGTGGAGGTATTGAGGGTGCCAACAAGAAATAACATCAGGAGCCATGAAATGGTAGAGTCAGTAAAGCCATACTTTATCCTGAATTTCAAAAGGCCTTTCTGATATTGAGGAATGGTCCCCAGAAGGAACCTCCTTGGATGGGTTCAGTAAAACCCAGTATTTGTAAGACAGAGAGAAGGCACTGGAATCTCACAAGTAAAGCCTAATCTATAGTTCAGGAAGAGAACCCAAAAGATTTCTTCATCAGTAACTTTAAATTTACTATAGTTTTACAGTAAATTTATGTCAGTAGATTTATGCTAGTCTTTCTGCACCTGGTTTATTTCCAGGAATGAGTAGGAGACCTCTTTCCAGTCTCCTCTGTCCTTGTAATTTATTCTCTTAGTAAACTATCTGGTCTGCACATTTTGGTGTTTGGTTGGCTGTTGGTTTTTTTTTTTAATTTTATTTCTTTTCATACTAAATTAATGTGCTCTGTCTGTTCAGAGGACACATAGCTCTAAATAGAAACAGAACAAATTTTTTACAAAAAATGTTGAGTTGTACTCAGATCTCTTCTTTACAAAAAAAGTTCACGTCTGCACTTCAAACTGAGGTCAAGTTAACCAGGATGTTCTGGCTGTCTTGTAATCTGAATAAACTTGGAATAGTTCACTGTCATCTTAGGAGAAGTTGATGACTGGTTTGTGTAACTGCAGCACTAAAAATTATTTGATGTATCCCAGTGAATCTTAAATGCCTTACTTGGGAAGTATGTATGCTTCACTGGGACAAGCTTGCAAGGCAGATTACTTGTGGAGTTTTGAGTACATCTCTTTCTTGTTGCCTGATATTGATTCATTCATACTGACTTTTTAAATTGACTATGTTTTATTTTGTTTTGAAGCCAAAAGGTAAGAAGAGTATCCTGGATGTAGATCCTGAGGCTCAGGCCTTATTAGAAATGGCTGGAAAAAGTCGTCAGAGTGAAGGTCTACGAGAACCCATTGAAGAGGATGATGATGATGATGATAACTAAAAGAATGACAGTAACATGAGAAAGCTTCTTCCCCCCTCGACCCTGTTCCTGAGTGTTAATGTTCCTTGGACAGGATATATTCTCCCTTTTTTTCCTTACATTTACCTAATTATCTGGGATGAAACTTGTCTCGTACTTATGTAATATTTAGGTCCAATACAACATCCTGCCTGAAGGGTTTTTTGGGGGGAGGACAGAAGAATTAACTAGGTACTTAATGATCAGACATCTCTAAGTTCTAGCTAAATATGAATTTGCTAGCATTCCTGATAGATCCTGTCTGCATACAGAATTAAAAACAAAAGACGAAGTTGTTGATAGTATGGCTTACTGACTTGGAAAATTGATACGTATTTGTATAAAGCCTGTTCAAGACACTGATTAAGGCTCTTATACCTCAACTGCACATATTTATTTGCGTGCAATGAAATTAGTCAGCGAAGCTTGCAAATTGTAATGATGTCTTACATTGCTAAACATAGAATAGTCTGCATGATTTCATATGAGGGATGCTATTAATTTGCATTGCTCCAGTTAAAGCATTAAATTTCATGCTTTCTAAGTCAGATTTTCAGCAAGTGACTCTATATGGGCTATAAGATGTACAGAATGCTAAGTATATAATACCCAGTTTTATAATACTACACTACACCTTAGTGCATTTCACTTAAGAGGTTTCTGCAGAAATTTGCCTATTGCTTTTTAAACTCAGTAGAACAGAGCCATTGGGAGTCATTCGGCCATATTTATCCTAAGAACGGGCCATACCTCCAGCAGAAATTCTCTAGGGAAGGTACCTTCTTTAGCAGCCTCGCTTAAGACTGGAGTAAAAGATCAGGCTGTAAAAAGGATTAAGTACGAAGCATCCACAGTTAATTGGGAATAGTATCTGCAGATACCTTGTAAAAAAGAAAAAATAAAAAAAATCAGGGTTATGTCTGTAACACATTTAAGGAAGAATGCTCTAAACTTTACTTCCACTCAATTAATCATTACTGTATGATGGAAAAAAATTCCCGCAATGTGAAATGTAACTAGTGGGTTGGACGTTTTGCTCTGTTTTGTTGGCTGTTCAGCAGTCAATGCCAATTTTGTCAGGTCTGTTATACTCAGGGCTTTTTGTACTTGAATCCGTTCACACCTATGAGTAATTACTAGCTTGACCTTGCTAATTCTATGTGTAATTAACTTGACAAAAATAACCATAATTTCTACCAGGAACTGTCATTTCTAACTCAAAAAATTGTGTTTGGTTATTAGTATGTATGATTGTCAGTCTTTCTCCTCCTAAGGAGAAGGATTGTATCACATCTGTTTTGTCCTAGCGTGAGTTCGTCTTCTCTGCAGCATAGAGCAAAGAATGTGTTGTAATAGTTATAAAATTACTGCAATTCCTGATCATGTGGCCTTCCTTCAAATTCTTTCCCTTAGTGTTTTCTTGTATGTAGGTTTTGGTTTTTTATCCGATGTTTTTCCTAGGGAGCCAGGTTAGAATATTCAGAATAATCTGCACTTGTGCCTTAATGTAGATCCCATTTTTAAAAATTTTATTAAACAATATGAATTTAGCCTGGAAAGGAGAGCATGCAGAAATCACTCTAGCCAGACACCCTAGAACTCAACTGTGCATTTTGTGTGCTACCTGAACTAATGATTGGGGCATATACGCTATTTGTTCCAGTACAGAGTATGCTGTGAAAGGCCTGAGCTAATGTTGCATTTGCTTAAATAAACCAGTCTCCCAAGTTTGTAACAAACGTATGGAAAAAAATGTAAGCATTAAAACAACTGCACTGTTACTTTTGTATAATTTTCTTCTCTCTTTCAATAAGAATTTTAAATGGTACAAAGTAGGGAGTGCTATACAGACAGCAATTAAGTACATGATGCTCTCTGTAAGTGTGGTGATGCTGGCTTCTGTTTTAACATTCTAAAATTCCCACCATAAGTCTCAGAGGTATTCTCTTAAGCACTGGCTGAGCATACTAAATACTTGAAGTGGATGGCATACAGGAATGAGACATAGTTGAATTTCTGCAGTTACACATGAAATAAACAACTAGACTTTCTTTTTGTTCCATTACAAGGCAGAGACTTTGCTTTGTTTTAAGACTGAAACCAGCAGATTGTATCTAGGGAGGGCGAATTGCACAAAGCTGCTCTTCACCAAAAATATTTCAGTGGCCAGGTTTTATTTGATTTAAAATAAGTATCAGTAGCTGGTTCTTTCTAGGCTATGGATCCAAAATGTAATGCTGTTTAAACATCATCTTGTTATGTTCAGCATAGTATTTTGACCTCTGAAATTGTGGTTTTTGACAAGTTCTTCTCTGAGACTCTTAATCTTTACTTCGACGTGAAGGTGTTAAGCTGGGGCAAGAAGAAAACTGATACTCTGGCACTTCTACCAAATGTATCGGTGAAGCATTATGTACCAGGAAACCACTAATCCAACCAGCAGATGGGATTATTCAAAATTGTTCTTTAAATGTAAAAAAGTGGCTTGAAAGAGACTAACTTTTTTTTTTTTTTTTAACCCTAATGATTAAGCAATATGTGCTTCGCGTTGATGCATCTAAAAATGTTTGGGAAGTGTTTATCAGCAGTCAGCTTAGCTATGATCCAGACATCTCTCAATCGCTTTTATGCAGCTGTTGATCCAACTGCAAAGCTTAACATCCCTGCTATGTCTGTCAGTCATCTTTATTCTCACGCACTTGTGAAAGTGAGCCCCTTCCCCATTAAATCCGTCCACTACTGTGCATCAGATCAGTACCAAAAAAAATGATGGCAGCGTTTGGCAAAAGCTGACAGCCAAGGGTCGGCACTTTAGCTCTCTACTCTTTGTTTGGCAGCTCCCCGCAGTTCCCTTGAGAGTCTTGCTGAAGCAAGGCGAGACATCGGGGAATGCAGAAATACTGTAGATTGACTGTAGGAAAAGAAGCGCTAGTCAAGGCAGGTCTTTTCCAGTCTTCTAATTTAATATAAAAGGATGGGTCTAAATCAGCAGTCTCATTCAGATACTTATCTGTAACATTTTAAAAAGTAGATTTTATTAATAAAAATCACTTTGATTTAAATAAATAAAATTCCAGTTTATGCACAATAGATTTTTCTGTACAGGTGTGAAACTGTTATTTTGTCTGGGACTATCACAGCATTCTTGACATATATATAGGTCAATGTTATAAAAATATACCTGATCTTAGTTTAAAACAGGAGCCGCTCCGGAAGTTTCTGTAGACGGCTCAAACGGCCTGGGCAGAGCGTGTAGAAGGAACAGACTCTGGAGTAGGAAGGACTCACAGTACAGATTCACTTCAGTATCTTCAGAAGGATGTGCAGCATCAGAAAATGGTGCATTTGGATTATCCAGCATCACAGCTCCGTTCCAAGCGTATATTTAGAGGAAGTTTGTATCAGTTATGATGTCCCTTTGTGTGCTTTGGTTGGCAGCAGCGTTTTTCACAGAGTTTGACGAACTCGGACACAATGAAAACCGAGGAAGCCAGCCCGGTGAGAAACAGCAGGTCTGCCGAGAGGAAAGAGAGCAGAGATGAACACAGCAGGCAGCTGGATTTTGTGCTGGGCAGGAATCCCCAGTTAAGGGCCTTCCTGCAGCAATTATTCGTGCTGGTGTAACTCCACAGGTTGGCCATGTATGGCCTAGCTAGGCTTTTGCTAGCTGTAGAATTAGAGAAAAGAGTGTGACAGACAAGGAATACCCATACAGTCAGTTGGTACAGTCCATTCGATGGGTGGTAACCTCTACGTTAATCGTTTGGGATCACTGAACCCTGCTGCTGACAACATACCCCATGTAGATGCAACACAATGCGGTACGGTAGCGTTTGCTTAGGTGATTCAAATGGTAAAATATGCATTGCATTTCAGTTAGGAAACATTTACCTTGCTTTTGCAAAATGGAGTGACTGCATAATGATCCGAGATAGATTTATGTAGAGAAATATCATCATACAGAACTCGTGGAAAAATCTTGGCGTGTCTCCATTTACATGCATTTATGTGCACTAAATCAAAATTCAAAACATAGGCTGGAATAATATTAAATACTGCTACTATTTGTGTATAGCTATGTGTATGTATATAGGTATAGGAGATGGTTATTGATTTCCCCTACCAGTAATCTGCTGGGAGCTATTGTGCAACAATTTGGCAATCTCGCCTGCTTTTTAAAGTAGCTTTAAAGAAAACAAAACATTATTTATTTTACAACTTACCTAGCACTCTTAAGTTCTCTGTCTGGAAGATCTTTTGTAACGGTGGGACATATATAACAGCCAGCTGCCCCAAAAATGACCCAAGCACAGAATATAAGAACATGCGGTTTCGAAAAAAGCCTATTTCAAATATCAGCTTTGTCTAGAGAAGGGGAAGGAAAAAAAAAAAAAAAGAGAGAAATGTAACATTTCCCAGTCTCCTGTTGGTACCTGAATGTCCCACTGTTTCCCTGAATGTAAACTCCATTACTTCTTGAAGTTAGCATTCATGTAACGTAGGCAGAACTACATAGTGTAGCTGCAGTTTATCTATAAAGTTATCCACCATAGTTAAAGACGATAAAAATGCTGCTTTAAATGACTTTAAAAAACCCGCTTCCTATGCAAAATACCGGTATTCTAATGTTTATGTTAGTGTTTTGCTGACAGGGTGATCTCACCTGAGAGCGGCATGTCAGGGCATTGAAGAGGTCAAAAAACACAAAACAGGTGAAAGTCATTGTTGTGGTTCGAGGAGTTATGCCACTTTTTGGATTCTGAAACCACATGTAAAAATTCAGGGGTTAGTTAAGCCTTACAAAAATATGTCAATTCAACAGATGAATTAAATACTCCCTTTAATGACCCCAGTCAATTCAAAGGGTAGTAAAACAAAGAAATAAATCTAGTTCTGACCATTACAGATAGCATTCATTTCTCTCTGCTAATTGTTGAGTTTATGATCTGATCAACCGTGTTTTAAATTCTTAAACTGACGTG